CACCAGCCTCATGTCCCTGTTGGATACGCCATGGGTCTTGGCACTGTCTGAGAGGTGACCTTGTTGGTCTGCAAAGCATTCTGTCAAGCGTCCCACCCCAGAACCCCTGGCTATGTTGTCCTTTCCCGGGAACACAGAGAAGCAAGGGCAATTAGCCAAGGTCACCTAGCAAGGACACACACAACGTGGCTTTGACACATGGTGACTGAGACGAGGAGGAACCCATGTGTCCAGACTCCCAGGCCCCCCAGCCATTATTCTGGAGGCAGCTGGTCTCTCTCCCAAGGTAGCCAGGAGCCTGAGCTCTGATCAGGACCCTGCCACCATCTTGCTCTTGCTTCTGAGCAAGTCACATATTCTCTCGGGGCTTTAGTTTCTCATCTGAAAAATGGGTAGCAATCCCTGTTCTGATGGCTTCCTGAAGCTAAAGTAGTAAATACACCCAACAAACTGAAACTGTCCCAGATCGAAGACAGAGCTTCCAACTAGCCTTGGGCCAAAGGGGAGTATCCATACAGAGAGCCCAGGTCTTGGCCCACAGTTACCCAGTGCAGCCGCAGGAGCTATCCTGCTTCCTTCTTCCTGCACAGCATGACCACAGCAAGCTCACAGCAGAGGGTCAAAAGCCTAGCCTGGAGTCCTGAGTCAGACTCAGGGCATGGGACAGGGGCCCCAGACCCATTGGGGAGATAAGGGCAGCTAGAGACTAGGTCAGACCAAGTCTGGCTGCTGTGGGGGGGAGGGGGCGCCTGGCAGGCACTGGGCAGGCTGGGGGGGGAGGCCTTTGGCGGCCTCAGAGAACAAAGAGGCTAGGGTTGCCAGGATATTCTGTGGAGCTGAAGCCGCAGTGACGGGGCTGGGAGAGGGGCCACAGCGGCCGTGGGAACTGCGCCTGCTGCCCCCACACCAGCTCCCCCACCCAGACTGGGCCTCAGGGCCAGGCACGGGACAGGCCAGGGGTAAGAGGGCTGCCAGAGCCCCCACTCTCTCCCCAGAGTTGCACAGCTGTCAGGGCAGAGACCCAGGAAATGCTGAAGGCAGACACACATCGCAGTGGTGTCGGGCCCACGGAGAGGCTCACAGGTGCCCGCTGTCTCAAAGTCATGGCCACACACCAGGGCTATCCAGGCAGCATCACAGGGTCACACTGTGGTCACACAGGAACATCTCACACTCAGAATCCCTGATGTCAGTCCCAGGGCCACATCCAGGACGGTCACATAGACACATGTCGCACACCCGCAGGAGTCAATCAGTGCCATACATCGGTGCTGCCTATCCAATGTCACAGTCGAGCAACCTGGCATCACACTGTGACAGGATTGTACAACAGGACCACACAAGCAATGTCACAGAACATCCCCAAGCACGGTCATGACGTCATACACTAACCCAGGGCCACACGAGGTCTCACATAATGATCTTCCATGCACTGTCACAAACACATTTTCATAATGTCACACCTGATGTCACACAGCCACATTGCTGTACAAGGCCTCATGCAGTTGTCAGGCCCTTGAATTCTCTGTCACACACACACACATACACACACACACACACACACACACACACACACAGGAGGGTCCAGGGGTTGCATAGAGGCTAGATCTATCTCCAGTGTGTGCACAGCTTCTTGAACTCCCACCCTGCAAATGCCCCCCGAACTGGCCCTGAATGCTAGGTGACCCAGGTGGGGGTACAGAGTGGTGAAGGTCACCAGGAGGTCAGGCTCCCAACTGTAGCAGAGGGGAGCTGGGGGCACCCTGCAGGAGAGGAGAATTGGGCACGCAACCCCAGCAGGGAGCACATCTCTGTCAGCCTGGAGAGCAGCAGGGGTGAGCCTGCAACAGAAAGACATGGAGGTGCAAGATAGGGGAGACACAGACATGTAGACATGAGACAGAGACCAAGAGAGACATACAGAGGTTCAGACACTGAGGCTTCATCCTCAGAAGGAGGCTAAATCAGGATCCGACAGAGACCATCAAGACAGAGAAGCAGAGACAGCAAGCCAGAGAGAAATGCAGACAGGCTGGTGCAGGGTGGGGTCAGGGCTGGGTCTGGCAAGCGAAGGGCCAGCAGTGGGCCACTCTGTGGAGGTGGGAGGTGGGAGGTGGGGGGCCCAGGCAGAAAGTGGGAGACATGTTGGGAGATTTAGGTGAATAATAATTTTAAAATAGCAACACCAGCTGCCATTGACTGAGTGCTCACTAGAGCCAGTCCCTTCCCCGTGTGATCTCATTTCATCCTCAGGCAACTTCATGGGGGAGAGATAATTACCACCCCGTTTCCCAGATGAGGTAACTGAGTCCTCATGATGTGTTCAGCTTCACAGCTATCCCCACTCTGGCCTCCTCCAGACAGGGCCCGGTCTGCCATTTCAGCAGAGCAGAGCAAAGAAGCAAGAGGCTGAAGCTGGGCGAGCGAGGGGCTTTGAGCTCTGGGCGCAGTGCTGGGCGGGGGTGGGCCCAGAAGACAAGGCTGGGCTGTGGGCTGGCACACTAACAGGTACAGGCCGGCTGAGTCACAGCACCCCCGGGGCTGGCACCAGAGCCGTCCACCCCACACCTGTAGGCGTGCCAGCGGGCCGGCCGGCCGAGGCCATCTGCAGTCAGCGTGCTGCCAGCAGCCAGGCGGGGGCAGGCGGGCCAGGCAGGGGCCTCCTGCCCTGTGCCCCTGCTGGCCAGGCTCCTCCCCCTTCTCCCCTAAGAGGACCCTCCCCACCCCTCGAGGTTGCAGAGGTGCTACAGCTCGCCTTGTGCTCTGGGGTAAGGGTGCCCCCCAGCTGAAATACGCCCCCCTCACTCTCTGCTGGACGCCCCCCTTCGGCAGAGCCGCCTGGAGAGATCACAGGCAGCCACATGAAAGGGAATTTTTCCCAGGCAGAGATGGAGTTGAAAGCTGCCTCCCACCGCCCCCGCCTGCCGCCCCCGCCTGCCCCCGCTGTGCCAGGCCAGGCTGCTGAGCCCCTGGTGCTCGAAGGGAACTTGTGACACCGGGGAAGGGGTTGGGGGTCAGCACCCTCCCCCAACATGGCTGCTTTCTCCTCCTAGGAACAATGGCAGAGACAGCGTGTCTCCCCCCACCTTACCTCCCACTCAGCTTTAGAAGACACCTCTTCCCTATTCTGAAATCCCTCGGGGCCCCAACACTGGCAGGAAGTCCCTCCTCAAGTCTAGCTTCCATCTCAGTCGGGTTCAAAGCAGCTGGGTGGGAAGAATGCTCCCCAGTGGATGGACAGGCTTCATCCTCCAGGCTGGCCTCCGAGATGTGCATGGAGGGCAACTGCCACGCCTCACTCTTCAGGTGGCCGGGCCTGGACCATGCAGTGGCTTCTCAGACATTTGGCTTCTGAGGTTCCAGGCAACGTTGTACTGATAAACCCTCTGGGGTGGAGACAGTCAAAGTCAGGGACATTCGTAGAACTCAGTGTGGTAGAGGCTGGGAGGTGGCATGGTGGTTAAAGGTGCTGAGCTCCCACATGGGTCAACTGTGGTTCGAGTCCCAGACCTGGCAGCTTGTTTTCACACTCTCTCTCTCTCTCTCTCTTTCTGTCCCTCTCTGGTCAAATTAAAAAAATAAGTAAATAATTAAAGTTAAATAAAATAATTCTTTTTATAAAAAAGGAACTCAGTCTGGTAGCTGTCAGAGGATGTCTGAGGATGTCTTTGTGTGTAGTGAGCACAGCTAGGTCGCCCAAACAGCCGCTAAAAACCATTCCCTGGGGAATGACATCAGCAGTCGGGAGCCCGAGCATGTAAGAAAGACCCTGCACCGGCAGCCCCGCGCTCCCCCGTACTCCCCCTGCACCGCTCTTGGTGGTGCTGCACTGATCAGGTGCTGACGAATTTAGGTGACTGGAGAAGTGGCCTCAGATGAGTGATAATCCCCAGAGTCCAGGTTCTGAGGTCTGGGGTCCAGCCAGCTCCATCCTGTCTGCCAGGCTGGCTGCTCCTGCTTCCCCTACTGGATTCAGAAGGCCCCTCTCTCAAGAGATCCCAACCTGGATTTCCCTGGGCCACCCTCCTTCCTCCTCGAGGTGCTCCCAGACAACTCCTGCCCAGTAACAGCTCCCAAGCCAGCCCCACCAAAGTCGGAGAGCAAGACGCTAGCGCTTCGTGACACAAACATGCATTCGTTTTATTCACAAAACAGCCTGGTTTCCTAAAACAATACAAACAGCATGTTCATCAGTTTGGCCACAGGCAGGGGGGCCCAGGCCACATGGGGCCCCCTGGGCACCCACCCCCACCGGCAGGGGACCACGCAAAGAAGCCCTGTCTTCTGTCGCCATCAGCAAGGCCAGGAAAAAAGGACTTATTTTATCTAAGGGAAGTAGCCAGGATCGGAAAGGTCGAGACATGGGCTCCCCGATCTCAATGGATAAACAAACAGAACTTTCATTTTTTTTTTCTTTTTCCAAATTCATCACTGTTGGGGTGGGGGATCCCAGTCTGGAGACTGTGGGTGTAGCGCGGCCAGCCTGGGCCCAGGGGTGGGTGGTGTGCCCTCCCCCTCTTCGAGCACCTCGCCGGCAGCCCTGCACGTGGATGGAGACAGAGGGGCTTCTACACCATCAACATTCTCTTTATAAACGTGAGTGGATTCTCCAGGCAAACTATGCACTATTTCATGGTCGGAAAGAATCAAAGGAAGTTTAAATGAGGGTGGAGTTAAACTGTGCTAAATTACAGTAGTGCTTATTAGTAACTAGATTTCAAAAGGTTACAGAAAATTTACATTCTCTACACAAAAACTGCATCTCCTGCACAGACAACATCGACATCGACACAGGAAGGAAACTGATTGTCCATTCTTTGCCCAGGAAGTCTCGGTACTTTATAGATTCGCCTTTACCTCTTTTTTGTTGTTGTTCTTCCGAAAAAGCAGTTAATTTTTTTTTCCTTTTCTTTTTCTTTTTATACTAGGGACGTGGAGATGTTAAAACGACAACAAAAAATATATATATAAAAACAGGAATGAAATCTGTGAGAATATTTTTGGTTCTAAAGACGGGTGCATCCGTTTGTCTTCGCCCGAATCCCTTGCCGGAGACCACGCGAGCAGTGACATTGCACGGAGAGGGCAGCTTTGGGTTCCCACCGCCGTCACTGAAACCACCGGAAGGCGGCTCCCGTCGGAAGCATCACCTTCTGGCGGGGGCGGGAGACAAAAACAAGGAGAGAGTTCAGTCAGGGTCCGGGTGGGCCTGGCGCACAGACGAAACGTTTCCCTGTGGATGCCTCATGGTGGAGGGACGGGGCTGCAGTAAGAGCAGCCACCCCGCTGAGTTCCTGCCATGCTGGCCAGGCCAGAGGAGCAGCCTGGACTCGTTGGGCTGCTGGGGAGCCCAGAGCACCCTGAGGTTCACTCCTAAGCCTCTGTGTCCAGGAACTCTCCTTCCAGAGAGACAGACCTCTTTCC